TTACTTGAACTTCTTCATCAGACTCATCATCTTCTCGTCTCATTTGCGCCCATTTTGCTTCCAATTTGGAATTGGATGAAGATCCCCAGTTGGAATCTGAAGAGGATCCAAAGTTGGAATTCATTGCAAACTTGAAATGAAAAAGATTGAATTGAAAGAGATTGAATTCAAAGTTGTATGAATTATAGCCCAATATCCACCCTATTTATAGCAAAAGAAAAATTCAAATCCAACGACTAGCTGACGTCAGCATGATGTCAGCTACCAACATAATAAGTTATGTTTGGCCCTATGGTCCTTTGGCCCTCGGTTGGGGACGGAGGCAAATATGGCCCTGTACTGTTCGTTAAAATATTAATATCTTGGAGGGCCAGATGACTAAAACGAACCCTCTGGCCAGCCCTCGGTTGGAGATGGCTACCGAAGGGTCTAGAAGGCCGAAAATAGCTCGAAAACCGTCTTCAACCGAGGGCTAGGCCAGATGGCTCATGGAATTTGAGAGGGCCCCACGGAATCTGAAAGGGCTGAAGGGCTGGCTAGAAAACTGATTAATCATGTTGGTTATAATTGACATGAATATATTTATATTATTAACCGACAGGAATTCTTAAAAAGAATTTTGAATCCAACGGCTAGTTGGCGCCAGTTATCGTTGAATTCAATTTTTTTTTTAGGTTTTTTTTTAATTCTCAAAAATTCTATTTTTTTTTTCCTATAAATACCTAAACCATTCATTCACCATTCCTCACAAAATTTTCACCATTCATACACCATTCCAATTCTCATATTTTCCTTCATTTTTCAAAATCTATCCTTCAATTTTTTCAATAATTTTCAAATGGCCTCGTCTGTAATGAAAGGTAGGGCTTGGACCTGAAAAGAAGATGAAGCTCTTAGCAAGGCTTATAGATGGGTGTCGAAAGATAGTGTGAGGGAGAATTTTCAAACAAATGACGGTGTTTGGACTCGTGTGTCCAAAAAATACTTAGAGTTCTATGAAGGCACCACTCCAGTGAATATTCGAAACCACGAGAGTTGTTCTTCAAGATGGAAGAAACATCTTCAGCCAAGTTTGAACAAATGGCATCAAGCATTGTTAGCAGCCGCAAGTAGACATGAAAGCAGCGCTAATTACTACAACGAAGTAAGTGTTTTCAAAATTTATTTTAAATATTCAATTATATTACATTTAATTTCATAAATTAATTTCCTTTTATTTTTTTCCAGGTACGCCAAGCAGAGGAATTGTATATAGAGAGCAGCTCGAAACCCTTTCAGTTTCACAATTGTTGGGAAATTTGTAAAAGGTGGGTGTTCTTTGAAGATCCACCACAGAGAGCTCATACGCCGGTGCTCAGAACTGCATCCTCAGCTACAAATATAGATGAAGATGGATCACTAACCATTCAACAAACCAGGGTAGAAAATTTGTCTTTGGGTGAAGGTTCTATACTTAGGGCTATGAGACGAAACAAGGCGCGAAGGTTGAAGGAAAAGGGCAAGGCAAATGATGATTACGCCGCTTAACATGAAGTGGCGGCCTCATTGCGATTATTGGTGGAGCAAAATGCCTTTGAGGCAGAAGAAAAGAAGTGTAGGCAAGAAGAACGGGCCAAACAAATACAAGAAGAGATGGATGATAAGAATATGGAAATGCACACTTCGAATTATACTCCAATGAGTAAGACCTATTTTGATAGAAAAAAAAAGAAATTATGAGTCGACGGCAGTTGTTTACCTCTGACTATACTCCTACAATGGCAGATGATGAAGATGATGTTGATTATGGATATTAAATTTAAGTTGTTGTAGTTTTTAAATTTAAGTTAATGTTGTTTTCAAATTTAATTTGTAGTTTTTAAATTTAATTTGTCGTTTTTAAATTTTAGTTGTAGTTTTTAAATATAAGTTGTAGTTTTTAAATTTAAATAAAAAATTATGTTTGGCCTTTTTGCCCTCAGTTGGAGATGGTTTTTTGTGACAGGGCTAAAATGAGCCCTCTGGCCTTTTGCCCCTCGATTGGAAATGGAGGCAAATATGGCCTTATACTGGTCGTTAAAATATTAATATCTTGGAGGGCCAGAGGGCTAAAACAAGCCCTCTGGCCAGCCTCGGTTGGAGATGGCCTAACAACTCCTTGTTGCTCTCCTCTCTCTCTCTCTCTCTCTCTCTCTCTCTCTCTCTCTCTCTCCACATTTGACTATTTTCGTATCGTTCTCTTCTCTGTTTTACCATTAGATGCTAATTCAAAAGGGGAAATAAATGTTTGGATCGAAATGATAATTTTAACCTCCAAAATAATGGAATCATGAATGAAATGTGTGAGATTTAATGGAAAATGAGAATTTGACCATAGATAAAAATTTAGAAAAGTAATTAGCTCAAATTAAAGTTTACAGGAGTAAATTGACAAGAGGTTACAAATTCAGCGAATTTCAAAAAATAGAGCTATAAAAAAGAATAGAACTTGGCTGCTGAAAAATCAAGCAACTCCTGCTGCTGACCAATAACAAATGAACACATATTCAAGTAATTGATTTTTAAATCACAAATTAAATACGTATTTATTTGTAATTTATTAACAGTAAGAACTGCTGTTGATTTTTTCAGCAGCCAAGTTATTTTCCCGTAGAAAAACAATATTCGTACTAGTTATACTGTAGAATATGTGAACTACAACTGCATGACGGTCGTAGACTGGTGGGTTCCTTTAAAAAGTGTCACGCATATTCTCTGTCAAAAGAAAAAGTGTGTCGTGATATCATGATTCATGCATGCATGCATAGGGAGATCATTGATCGATTGTTTGACTTTTGGCGCCAATCACTCCCTGATGGAGGGGTCGGGAAAGTGAACGAGGAGAGGGAGCATTCTCGTTGGATCCTTTTGTGAGGATCTTGAGATTCTTAAATTACATATGTTCATCTTATATCGTGTGGTAAAAAATCATAAAAAAATTTTAATTTAAAATTGAACATAAATAGTACTTAATAAAAATTAACTGTATGATATACGATAAACAGATGTGATTGTATGATTTTCGTGATCCCGTAAAAAGGATCCTCTCAGGCATATATGCAAAAAGGGTAAAATTACAAATACATACGACAATTGGCTGCCGCCATCTCCTTTTCACTAGATTTTTGTCAATAAGAGGCAGTCCAATAATACACCAGGGTGGCTCAATATTCAGCATCAACTTTGTTACGTGTTACGGATCACTTTAAATCGTTGATTGATTGAGATTAAATTTTTTAGCGAGAAATTAGATTGTTTTCCATGAATCGGGCCCGCCCCAAAATTTCATAATGAGCTTGGTTCAATCAATCGTTAAGTGTCCATTTTGTAGTTAAAATGTATGATTAGTGTTTTTTCTTTTGTGATTCCAAATTAGTTTCAATTTTTCTACTTAATGTTTGAAAAATAGACATTTGGTGGATCCTTCGAGACTTTACCAATATTAAGTAATGACATTACTAACATGATGAAGTGCACAAATACTAAAGTTAGTTTTCACTCATTGATGTCTTTAGAGTTCTAATCCCCCAGATGATATGAGAGTTAAAACACACTTAATATTTGTCCATGTCATCATTGAATGCTAGTGAACCTAATAGATGTTCATTTTTCAAAACTTCATATTGTTATTTGGAATGTTTTAAAATGTTAGGACCAAATTTAGAATCACCTCTAAAGGTTGGATGGTTATATGGACTTAACCCTTTTTTTCTAAGACAATTATTGATTTTCATGCGCTATATTTATCTTCTTGCACTTTATCTCTTATTTATAGCCACAAGATTGAATAAATTAATGGTGAATCAACGAATGTAAATAAACAAGTGAGCGTAGGAGAATAAAAAAGAGGAATACTGTTTCCATTCCTCCCTTTAAGGGATGAGGTCATCCCCCACTTACTTGTAACGTATCCTCACCATAAAACTTTCACAATTGTGACAGTTCAATCTTATAATCTTCATTTGAAGATCATTCTTACTAAAAGTCATTTATATCGGATATCGTTTAGTTATCTAAATGTATGAAACGTATCAATGGTTCATCATAAATATGCTACTTGATACCTACAATATTGATCTACTTGATACATTTAGATGATCAAACAATATTCGATTTAAATTTTTTTTGTAGGGTTGATTTCAAATAATAATTAAGAGATTAAATAGATTAACTAAAATAAAATAGTTTAGCAAAAAGAGTGTCATGAATCATGAAAGATGTGCAAGGATTTCACACACACACACACACATATAATTATGGATTTGGATCCTCGCTGGATCCCCTCCCTGGGGATCCTAGGGATCAATGCACATGAACTGTTGATCAAAAATTGAGTGGCCACAATTAAATGCTTTTTATATTTTTAAAAGTAAAATAACTTTGTTTTGCGTGAAAAACATAAAAAGTAATAAATTGTGGCCGTACGATTTTTTATCAACGATCCATGTGCATTGATCTCTAGAATCCCTAGGGAGAGGATACGGCGAGGATCCAAATCCTATAATTATAATATAAATATATGGTAGACTGTTAAAGTGTAGGAGAGGAAACATTTAATTTATTTTCTTCTGAATTTTGAGTTATTACAAGATGCAGGGAGGACATGGTGAAATGTAATTTAGCGCTTCTTTACATATGTGGAGTGGAATGCAAGTCACTTCCCGAAACGAACAGACCAAAGCGAGACGAACACGAATGTGGGACTCATAAAAAATTAAAGATTCGATTTTTGATAACGAGTTAATCTAATTTTGAGAGAGAAGATGTCGGATTGAACAAAAATGAATTAGAATCAAATTTTTTTGAACATATTTGAATGGCTAATGTTAAGAAATAAAAAATTGCGAAAGTCCGATGTTAAGGCTAAAATAATGTAACACTGTAAGTGAAATGATGTATTTTACAAAAATAATGAATGAAATGACGGCAAAAGAGCTTTTAGTAGTGATGTGAACAAAAGCAAAATTAGTCATTCCAGTCCTCCTCAATGCAGACCATTTCGAGCTTTTGGCAAAAGTACTCCACATTGAGAATTACCATTCCTAGCTTTAAATGTTTATACTCCATCAAAGGACAAAAGAAGAAAAATAAAGAGGGAGGGAGAGTGAGATCTCTTCTGGTGAAGGTCCCAGGTATTTTTTGATTCAAACAACAAGGTGCTGTTGGCCACAAAAATATAAAACCACAAAGAAGAAAGAGCAGAAGGTTTCTTTCTTTTCGCCATTTTTGGTCCCACATTTTTGTATCTTTTTTTAGACCCAAGAAAAATCATATTTTTACAAGGAAACCACTGAGAAAAAAGGATCAGAGTTTCTGGGTTTTGCAACTTTCAGTCAGCACTGAGTTTTGGGTTTAGTATGATCCCTTGAATCTGCCCTGTTTTGCGTGTTGAATGAGATGCAGGCTGAATGTGGTAAGAAAAAAGTTGTGTTCTTTTGGGGCCTCTGATCCTGAATATTTACCAGGAAGGATAAAGGCCAAAAGGGTTGGAGGAAAGTGCCTTTTTGGTCACAAGAGTCTGCAGAGAGTGAGTAATTTGCATAAAAAGAAGGAAAAATTGCTCCTTTTTGGAACTTTTTCTCTTTTGGTGGGTGGAAAATGAGATTGCAAGTTGAAGCGTAAAAATAGCGACAGAGGTACTTGGAATTATTCTCAGGTTTACTTAATTAGCCCATCTTATATTGCTTATTGAAGTTGATATTTTCTCAATTTTTGGAAATTTGGAAGGGGTTTTTTACTGACCTTTTTGTGGTTCTTACAGTTTGCGTTCACATTTATGAATTTTTTTAGTTTAAATGTTAGAAATGCAGAGAACCCATGTTTTGTATTTTCCTTGTGAATGTCGTTGGTGTGGTTTGAGATCAGAGAGCATGTGGAATTTCTGTTCATAGTCTGTAGGATGATGTGGTTGGAGTAGTTTTTGGTATGCTATTGTAATCTTGGTTCTGTTGGAATAGTTTTCATAGTGTTTGAGTAGGGGAGTAATTCAGAATGGCGAAAGATGAACAAGAAATGAGATCGTTGGCCTTGATTCCAACATGGTCTGTTGCTACTGTGTTGACAATTTTGTTGGCTGCTTCTCTGCTTGTGGAGCGCGGAATCCATAGGCTAAGCTATGTAAGTGATACTCTAGCAGTTTTCATGAACCTTGTTTTTCTTCCTTGTTTTTTAAGCTATTGGATACTTAAGTGGAATTAAGAAGATTAGTTGACATAAAATTTTCTGTTGTGGCTTAATTCATGAATCAAACTTAGAACGCATGCAACGTTAATTCAGATTTTGATTATACATATAATTGTTTTGTGTGTGTATGTTCTGTTGGTTTCAGTGGCTGCGGAAAACTAATCGTAAACCCTTGCTTGAAGCTGTGGAGAAAATGAAGGAAGGTATATGACCTAAAGTGCAGTTTTAACCTCCTGCACGATCTGAGAAATTCTTATTGATGTGTTTCTGGCAAGGCATTTAACAAAATAATTTCATATTACACTTCTCACTTGTAAAATTTCACGTTTTGTCCTGCTGCCTCCAGAGTTGATGTTACTTGGGTTTATCTCTCTCCTTTTGACGGCTACCTCAGGCATGATATCCAGTATTTGCATTCCATCAAAGTTCTACGATAGCAATTTTTCACCATGCTCTAGGTCTGAGATTAATGAAGAAACTGAAAGTAATTCGTCCCAAGAAAACCGTATTCCCTGCAAAGAGGTGCCTAACTTATCCATGTATAGCAATCAAACTAAAGTTCTGTTCTAAATTTCTAATACCTTTTTTACTTCTACGATGAGTTTTTTTTTTTTTTTCTTTCCCTTTTCTGGCGCACTATATTTACTTGGTTCTTGGAAATTGTTGAATATGAGTTAAATGCTGAAGGAAATTATTTTGGACTTCTTCCTGTCTTTTCTCTCCTATTTACCACGAACCATAAGTTATGTCTTATCGGACAATCTTGGTTAAATGTAAAACCGTTTGTTTGAACAGGGTTATGAACCAATTGTTTCATATGAAGGCCTTGAGCAGTTGCACCGCTTCATCTTTATCATGGCAATAACACATATATCCTACAGCTGCTTAACGATGTTGCTGGCAATAGTGAAGGTTAGAATTTTTTACATTTTTCTACTTATTCTTCATCTTTTCCATCCAGACCGTATTTGGTACAGTGATGAAACCTGCCAGTATCGGTAAACTGCTTTTCTTCTGGATAGTGGATAGTGTAGTTACTACTGAATACTGATAAACTGTCTAAAGAAGAGTGCATATGTTTTGGTGGCCAATTTGTGAAATTAAGTAAACATAGAAGTTGAAAGCGTCCATTTTCCCTGAGTAAGAACTTGTCTACTGATTTCTATTGAAAGAGCTCAAAACAAAAGGGTAAACTTTTCTTTTTTACGTTAAAGGCAGAGAAAGAATTGCCAACTATTAGTTTTGCAAGAAGTTCAGTGAAGCAAGGTTTATATTCTTTTAATTGCCATCAACGGTCAACCTATTCGTTCAGGAATTTGTGTGTTATAACTACTATTCGTTTAGGCTTGCATTCGCCACAAGCTTGTGGATCTAGAGTGTCGTATGTCAGGCATTGTGTTTATCTAAAGTATGCACACACGTGCACATCTACATCAACCTTTTGCACACACTTGCACTTCTCTTAAACTTCTATCTGGTTGAGGGGAATTTCATTGGTCTTTAATATTACTTCTCTCTAGTGCATAATATGCTATATATGTGTTGAATTGATGATTGGGTATTTATTGAAACACAAGATGAGAGTAGAACATTGAAATACTATTTTTGTTCGATTACTGTTTGACATTGTAATAATGTGATCAGATTCACAGCTGGAGAGTGTGGGAGGATGAGGCTCGAAAGGACCGACATGATTCATTGACTGGTAAGCTCTGACTTCGCATTGGTAGAATTATTTATTGATCAGCTTATTGGTCCCCTTGCTAAGAAAGAGAGAATATTTGAGTGCTTGAACTTTTATGATCCATGTGGCCTGGATTTTCAAATTACCTATGAGATGATTGTAGATAGACTCTGTAACAGAGATCACACGGCAGTTGACAATGCGAAGGCAGTCTAGCTTTGTAAATCCGTCAACTCCTGTTGTCAGGAACGACATTTTTATCTGGGTGGTAGGTGCATCTCTCTTTTCTTACTTAAATACATTGGTAACTCCATTCTTTGTTGTTTTACATTCTTAATTTCTTACAGACGAAACCTTTTATGTTTGATAAGCATAACATGCCCACGTTGAGCTTCCAAGAAAAGAAAAATGAAAACCGATGGCTGCTTTTCTTCCTTTTATGTGATTATAATTTAGGTTTCTTTGTGTTTCTTGGCATCCGGAAGCAGCTGCTTCAATTCAAGGTCTTTTTATAGTTGATATGTTTTGTTGTACAGATATGTTTCTTCCGGCAATTCGGGCATTCAGTGTTTCGTGCTGACTATTTAACACTCCGCAAGGGTTTCATCATGGTATCTAGCATTTTCATTCATCTGAAGAGTAGAACGAGTCTTCCTCATTTTGTTTTTCTTTTGTTTGTAAATTTCCCAGTATAATGTTCACTGTTGGCCCTTAGTGATATGGTTTTCACTGTACGCCTTCAAATTTACTGTGATAAAAACTTGCATTGCATGTTTTATAACAGTTAACAATAATCATAAGACAAACACATAATGTTAAATGAATGAACAACTAAGAGTGTTAATACGATATAAGCGAATATGATTTTATTTTTATTTTTGTATCAATTCATGGCATGTGCCAGGAGCCATGGTGTCCAAAAAAATTTTATGTTGGTAATTTTTCATTTTTCGGTAGAATTTGTTTGTATGGTGCATGTAGAATACCCTGAAACTGGTTACGTTTGCTCTTGTTCTTTCATATTATAAGTATGTTTAGGTAATCTAACACTGTAAGTATTTTGCTGGTACATACGAATATGCTAGGAATGCCAATTTTTAACCACCGTTCAATAAATGTTTGCTCTTTTCTTCTCTTCCTCATGCCAGAATCACAACCTTTCGCCAAAGTATGACTTTCACAGCTATATGATTCGGTCTATGGAAGAGGAATTCCAAAGGATTGTTGGTGTGAGGTAAGTTTATAAGTTTCTTCTGTTATGAATGAATGTTAGCATGACGACAACTACTATTGTTAGTAATTGTACCTAGCCCAATCCCCTACCCCCTTAGTTTAGATAATATCGTATGTTAAAAATGCAAATTGTGAAATTATATTTTTCCAATGGGATACACAATTTTGTTGGTTTAAATAGTTGCTGAAAGCCCTCATGGCGGGGATAGCTTAATAGTATATCCACACATGCTCGAAGGGATGGTCTAGTGTTTGAACCAGACCACATCCCTTAATTTTCGAATAGAAATGAAAAGTACAATTTTGATGAAAGTGATAATTCAAATGGTGGTTGTTGCTGTATTATATTAATACCAACCGTTTATTCTACAAGCCAAATGTCCTACAGAAGGTTGTAACAATATAGTTCAAGGCGTTTCTTGCCTTTAGGTTCGTCGCTGAGTGTTGAATATATCAGTTACAACAACCCTTTACACCGTGGGTTGTGAGAATTAATGTTAATTAACAGCGTATTTGCACAAATGTTCTTTGTTATGATTGCTACTTCTTTATGGCAATGACTGTAGTTGTGTGTATGAACTCAATGTGAAAAAAAGGAAGTATTATCAAGAAAGAAATACCATTCAACCGTGGAAATAGAGTGGAGATCCTTCCGATACTAATAGAAAAGAATCTTCAAAGTCCATGTAAGGTATTGGATACTTCCAAACTATCCGTCAGCTCTCGTTGTACAGTTGCAATGTCTTAGGAATCGTATTGGGTTTGGAGTTGGATGGCAGTGTGTCTGGTCAGATGCAACAAGAAGAGAAATTTAGAACAATAACAAGAATAATAACAAGAAACGTTCAAGTCCATTTTTTTACCTAATTCAAATTCTGCTGGTCACAAACTTCTGTCATTGAATTTTGTTACTAGTACTACTTATGGGTTTGGATAGTTGAATTCCACAGAGAACGAATAGCTAAATGAATTTTCTTAAATCTCTTGCAGTGCCACACTCTGGGGATTTGTTGTTGCTTTCATGCTGCTTAATGTAAAAGGTATGCATAGAACTCGAAAGGATTTAACTGTTAGTCACCTTCAGTAATAATTGTAGCTTGCGTGTTTCATTACACTGATACTCTTCTAACTGCCAGTTGGAGGATCATAAATTCGTAATATTATCATCGGTCTTGAAAACTCTAAAATGTGACTGTTTTCTGTGACCTATCACAGGGTCTAATCTTTATTTCTGGATTGCAATCATTCCAATTGCGGTAAGTGCAGATTTGCTCATATCCTTTTTAGTTTTGGTTTGACACCTATTCACCAAAAAAATGATCTCTAAGATGGGAACAAAAAATTGCATTGACAAACAGACACTTTTGAAGTTTGCATTAGTAGTGAATTTTACGACCTTAAACTTCTCTCTCAAATCTGTTAGTCCTGTGCTTCTCGTGTTATGAAATTTAAATTGTATGTTCCTATGCAGCTAGTTCTTCTTGTGGGAATGAAGCTGCAGCATATTATTGCAACCCTAGCATTGGAGAATGCTGGTATAACTGGATCTCGTCGAGAAGGAAAGCTGAGGCCTCGGGATGATCTTTTCTGGTTCAAGAAGCCTGAACTTTTGCTGTCCTTGATCCATTTTTGTTTATTCCAGGTTTGCACTGGTGATCGTAATGCCAGTCTTTTCTTTTTTTATTGTATCATAATGTTCTTTTACAACCTGCACTCACAGAGTCACAGATCAGAATCATAGAACTAATGTACATGTGGTTTTTTGTTCTATCTTTTTTGATTTTGCAGAATGCATTTGAATTGGCTACATTCTTTTGGTTTTGGGTAATTCCTTTTCCATGATTAAATTTGTACTCACTGTGGAGTGTTGGAAGTCGAAAACACCTTCAGTCGTTTAAGGCCACTAAATTTCATGTTTATTTGATTTCAGTGGCAGTTTGGGTATAATTCTTGCTTTATCCGAAAGCATTGGCTCGTGTATATGAGGCTGATTTTAGGGTATGCAAACAATTTGACTAGTTACGTGACTTACGTCAACCTACCATATCGAGTGTGTTGTCAATCACGGGTTTTATATTACTGTAATCATTTTATAGGTTCGCCGGGCAGTTCTTGTGCAGCTACATCACCTTGCCACTGTATGCCTTGGTTACTCAGGTACAGCCAGATATACATATATTATGCGTACTTGTCATTGATGAAACTCCAACTCATGTATTTGTATTTCACGTTTATTTTCAGATGGGAACGAATTATAAGGCGGCAATAATTCCACAAAGGATAAGAGAAACAATTCATGGATGGGGAGAGTCAGCTAGGAGAAGAAGAAGGCTAGGCATGTACAACGATGGTTCAACCATTCGCACAGAAGCAAGCACAGAAGTATTGCTCGAGGAAGATGATCATCAAACGCTCGATTGCCCTGCAGATGATGCTAATACGCATGATGGAATTGAAGTGCAATCGGTTTCTAGTTCTCCGGCCAGTCCTTGCCCGGTTGATAATGAAACCTCAAGTACGCCAGCTACACCCCTTCTTCAACCATCGGCTTCTATTTCTTCTTCATCTGTTACATTGACTATTCAAAGAGAAGGTATTCAAAGATCCGCATCAATGCCAGCTAGAAGGGAATGAAGCATTGTGAAGCATTGCTCAGCAATGATGGTAACGAAAAATCGCATGACTAAGAATTTGGGATCCAATTGAATAAGAAAGTATTAGAAATGGGAATTGTGTATATTTGGCTTCCCTCCATATGTACTATGAAAAGTACTTAAAAAGGGCGTAGAGGTAATAGAATACTCGCGGGATGTAACAATGCGACACGATATTGCAGTAGTTAGAATGTAAATATTTGATGTAATAGCTATATATATGAAATTTAGTGTGTCACTGACTAGTGATCAATGATGCGAGCTTGGGGTGATGTTCGAATGTAACTTGACAATGAGACATCTTACTGGTGTTACTTATCAAGGTGATGAATGTACCACCGGGGCAAGTTTTTGCCCGGTTTGATCAAATATCCTCGTCTTGTACACATCTTCTGTGATTATAAGTTGTAAATTCAATCAAGCATAACATGGTAGAGTGAGTAGAGACTTCATTAGAATTGCACTAGTATTTTATTTTCTTAAGCTTTTACTTTTACGTACAGACTTCATAAAGTTCTCTAGTTATGTAGCTTTGCAGCATTTGGTGTGTTGGTTGATGAATCTGGTTGCATGCGTTCTCCTTGTCCACCCTGGCCTGCTCGGTGGAGGACACCATAACTGTTGCAGATATGGTACCTATAAAGTGAGCTTTCAGGGCAGCCACAGCCCGGCGCACCCGGGTAACTACATGCCTTGCAAACTTGGTACCAATCAATTGACTGATCTGGGTCTGGCTCACTTGGGTAACTACAACCGCAACCTGGGAGAGGAACGTAAAAGCCCCCACCGCAATTGCTTCCGTAACCAGACCCTATGCCGATGCCAAAACGGGCCTCAAACCCGCTATCACCATGCCCAGTCCCAATACCAACTCCTCGACCCTCCCCATATCCACTGTCTCCAGAACCTCGCCCAATGCCAATACCAGTGCCAGCGTCTCTTCCACTACCTTCACCAATGCCTTTTCCATGCCCAACACCTTTGCCAGAGCCTCTGCCAACACCATAGCCCATTCCAATCCCTTCACCATCACTACCTTCACCAATGCCTTTTCCATAGCCCTCTTTAAATCCTTCTCTATCACTGCCTTCACCAATACCTTTTCCACCAATACCTTTTCCACCAATACCTTTTCCATAGCCCTCTCCGAATCCTTTCCCATGTCCACCTTCACCAATGCTTTTGCCATAGCCCTCTCGGAATCCTCCATCTCCACCTTCACCAATGCCTTTTCCGTAGCCCTCTCCAAATCCTTTCCCATCTCCACCTTCACCAATGCCTTTTCCGAAGCCCTCTCCAAATCCTTTCCCATCTCCGCCTTCACCAATGCCTTTTCCAGAGCCTTCTCCGAATCCTTTCCCATCTCCACCTTCACCAATGCCTTTGCCATAGCCCTCTCCGAATCCTTCTCTATCACCGCCTTCACCAATGCCTTTTCCGTAGCCCTCTCCAAATCCTTTCCCATCTCCGCCTTCTCCAATGCCTTTGCCATAGCCCTCTCCGAATCCTTCTCTATCACCGCCTTCACCAATGCCTTTTCCGTAACCCTCTCCAAATCCTTTCCCATCTCCACCTTCTCCAATGCCTTTTCCATAGCCCTCTCCAAATCCTTCACCATCACCACCTTCACCAATACCCCTCCCAATGCCTACACCTTCCCCAGTTCCACTTCCAGTCCCAATGCCAATGCCAACGCCTTGGCCCATGGGTTTTTGCATTCTCATTTTCATTTCATGCCCACTTGGGTCCTTGATTTTGAGGACCCTATGGGCATTGCTCAAGCTGAGCAAGCAGACAAGTGCCAACAACCCAATGCTGCGGGAAGCCATCTTTTTCTGTATGTTTGCTTTGCTTTGCATGGTTATATGACTATTTATATATAGCGAACTTGTGCTCCGCATGAAAAAGTGCTTACGAAACATGGAAACTGGAAAAGCACCAAAAGCGCTTCTCCGAGGTTTGTTAGTTGTTTTAGAACTCTCTGGAGTCATGAAACTTTTGTGAGCAGACAGAGTACTGCCACAACAAATGGACCTTGTTTTCAGCTTCCCCGCCGGATAACCTCTTCTTTCGTAGGCAATTTCATTGATCACATCACACAATACAACTAGAATTGTCAAACACGTGTGGTGTGTGTGTGTCGATAGTGGTGAATTTTTTGTACAAGCGATGGTTGAACAAGGATTTAAACAATGAACGGTTCAGATCACGGGTTTTGGAGTGGCCAAAACAAATTAATAACTCCATATTAACTTGCTAATTGTGTTTCCACGCTAGCTACTGATACCTTGTTTTATGGATTTGGATCCTCTCCTGAGCTAATGGAGAGGATCCTCCTGACCAATAATTGTGGGTCTTTGAATGAAAATCCAATGGCTATAATTATTATAACTTTAAAGGAACTCCCTGTTTGTAGCCTTTGGATTTTCATCCAACGGCCCACAATAGTTGGTCAGGAGGATCCTCTCCATTAGCTCAGGAGAGGATCCAAATCCTTGTTTTATAACTCTAGCTCTTGCGGAAATTGGAGGAACATTTCTTGCACTTGCAGCCCATGGTAATTTATTAGTTCAGAGATTCGAGTTACACAACTAGATCACTACATTGCGTTACAAGAACATAAATAGTCTCTACAAATGAACACTACCAAATAAGGATTTAAGGATGCTATGTCAGTTGCCCACATAGGCGTTAGCTGATATTGACTGTTGATGCATTTCGAGCCAGCGTGCCAGGATCAGCCCTGCGCATACACGAGTGACCATGCAAAGCAAAAATAACAATGACAATTTGGCATCAAAGTGGATTGCTTCCAGTAAAGGACTATTCAAGTAGCTTTGGGACGAATATAAAGAGAGGGAATGAAAATGTTGCTAGTGTGTGAATGCATCGCAAAAGAAATGTCATTCTCGAATATATATTCCTGTGCAGAGAACAGTCTCTGCAACGACTTCTACATCAATATCCTGCAAAAACCAGAATCGTGATATTCTTGTCAGCGGGGTAAACCCCCTAAAACTTGATTCCGAATGGGAACAACAGACAACATTTTACATAACCCTCACAATGGCCAAAATGACAGATGCGAACTTGGGAAATCTAGAAAACTCTAAGCTAGTTATTGCCTATAATTTATCAACAGTCAAGCAACCTCACCGCTGCCTGATTCTGCCTCCATGGCTTTTAACTCTTCGGCCAGCGCTCGTTCCCTGTTCTTTAGTTGTCTGTCCACAGCAACCATATATAGGCCTAAAAAGAAGTGACAATCATCATCAGAAAAAATAAGGAGGTGCCAAGAAATTGAAACAAAGACAAATTCACAGAATAAACAATTACACGAAACGTGGTGTTATCTATAGTACTAGTTGGGGTTTTACCAGTTTGAAACCCTGACCGGTTTAGCGGATACTTTATCTAATGTAGATATAATTGGGTTTTATATTTCTCATCCAATCCAATTGATGAAAGAAAACAATTAAATTGAATCAGTTAGTTTGGTTTGAATCATCTAAGTTCACAAATGAATGCAGGAGCACACCATGCTCACTAAAATCACAACCGTAAAGAAGTTGTGTTATGAGTGGCATGAATATTATTCGCGTGACAGATTGTGAAACAAAAGTACTGTAAAACTAAAGCAGACAAAGCATTTTCCTTACAAAAATTTGAGTCGGAAATCCAGTATGCTATTTGAATCAAGAATCAAAATATGGAAAGGTCAAGAGCTCATACTGACAGCACTTCCAATTGCACACGCCCAGAGAATCCTCATGGACCATCGATCCCCGATAACTCCTCTGCCTCCCATATCTAGCTGCCAAACCCAATTAAAATGCTTTAGCAACAACAAATATTGGATACCGAAAAACCTCATTGCGGTTTAGCATCAACAAATACTCGATACTGAGAAACCTCATTGCTTATCGCATAATCTAGTACAAGAATTTGAAATGCAAAGTTTCAACATTGTCATACAATTTGAAGCTCAGTAACCAAAGAGGCAACAAGCTTAGCAACTATTCCTCACAAAATTTCAGACGCTTGCTCACCGCTACAGACTACTGAGGATATGGTGGACCAGACAGCAGCTGATCCCAACCCAATCAGTAAAAACACATAATTCAGCTCAAATTTAGATCAAAAACAAAAAGTTTCTGTAATCTATCTCAGAAGTATGCCTAGCAGAGATGTGTAATTCACCAAACACATAGCAGATATCAATAACTTGCAATTGGAAAAAAAACCCAAAAGGCATTAGGCATAGCATGTCAGAAACAAGTAAAAAATTACCAAAATGGCATCAAAATTTCTAACACTAAAGCATAGAAATGCAGACAAAGAAAGAAGCAGCATAGAAATGGAAGCTTACTGGTTTGGCGGAGACACACCTAGCGTTTGGGGACGGAGATGGAGGAGAGAGCGGCGGAGGGAAAGAGAGAAACGGGGGAATTTTAACCGGTAAGAGCCAAATGCCACATGCTCTTCTGCTTTCTCCAATTTTCATTAGGCTTTTTAACCAAAATAGATGTTGAGATTTGCATAACTAGTCACTTTAATTCATAACATTTGAAATCAATACTAGTGGTTTATGAGATTATTCATCATTAATTATTTTGATCCTTACGTAAAAAATTATGTTAAATAAGAATCACAATGACAAAAATACCCTCATTTAAATAAACAATTGGCCAAAATGACAATTTCAGGAACCACTTTTATTGATTTCAAATCTCAAGAACCAAAATAAAGAGTTATGTAAATTTTAAAAACTATTTTAACTAAAAATTTTTCAATCAACCAAAGGTTGGAGTTTTGTTTTTACAAGAATCCCATCTAAATTTGTAGCCCAAAAACAAAAAGAGTAGGATTCCCTTCTCTTCTAATCTCTCTCCCCTTTCATTCCTTCCTATTTAAACGGTTGTGATTATGTCATGTCTACATCATATTTTAAATTTTTTTATATAGAGAACAAGACAAAAAGAAAAGCGTGAGAGGAGGGGATGGAAGAGAATGGTAATAGGAGAGAAAAGAATTCTACTTCAAAACAAAGAATCTACAACCACCCTGTGTGTGTGTGTGTTTTTTTTTTTATAATAAATTTATTTGGATATCTTCAAATAAAAAGTAAAAAATAACGGTTTCAAATATAAAATTTACGTGATGAAGATACATTATTCGAAATAAGTTGAATATGTTCACTCATAATGAGAGATGTAAGTGTTATCCATAAATATTTTCAACAACATTCCATCGCTCATTTATTATAATGGATTGCATGCTTTCTTTTCAACAAGACATTAATAGAAACATAATGGGTATAAGGTGTCAAATAGCTACATTTTTTTACTTGGAGTGAAGCACACAGAGTAGAGGTAGCAAATTAACACATTGGGTCGTTAATGAGTAACTATTAAGTTACATCTTGTTTTATTGGCGTAGTGTCCATGTAAGGGTTTACCTTTTTTGTTACATGCATGTAAAGGTGGCAAATCAACGCATTGAGTTGTTAATGGATAACCATTGAACTCGTTTCAGTTTGATATGAACGAGGTCTTAATAGTTACTCATTAACAACCCAATATTTTAATTTGCCGTCTCTACGCACATACAACAATAAAGATAAATTCCTATTATCCTATATGCCCACCATTCTAATAACACGACCAAAAAATGCCGGTACAGATATACCACAAAGACAGTAAACATGACATACCTACAACCGTAGCCCACACAAAGACTTGGTAAACGCCTACATTTTTTTTGTTGTTGATAAAAATGGATTGTAAACATTTTTGACAAACGATATTATATACATTAAGAGGATGTGGTGAGTTAAGTTTCACAATAAGTTAATAATAATAAGATTCAAATTTGTATTTGACGATAATCAAACTTAAGATCTCTCTTAAATAACCTACAAATCAACAAGTAAAATTGCTTGAAATTCAGTCCATTTGCAAAGTGAAGAAAATTACGAGAATGCCGTTTTGTCCAAAGAGAGAAGCGCGTAGAACGCAGAATTTTGAAATCGCGTGTTACTCTCGTACTGTCAAGCTGCCTACTGTCACTCTGCTTTTGCCATTTTTCTTCCATGGGAGGGGCTAAACGCCTTCCCACAAAGAGAAAGAAAGTCTGAATTTTGAAAGAGAAAGAAAGAGGGCTCTCTCTCTCTCTACACTTTCTCTCTCTATATTCTCATCGCTCCATCTTCTCCAGGTAACCGACCTTTCGTTTCTTCCTCCGCACTGCCATTCATCAAAATATTATTATTTTTCCCTTTTTTTTTTTATAAATTTTTTCTTTCCAAAATCGTTCCCTAAAACCCTGGTTACTGTTGCGTTGGATTATATTTTGAAATATGCACATTTTTATGTTCTGTGATTCTTAATATGATATGTGTTTCTTGCCGATGATTACATGACTACGTAATGTCAGCGCGTGTGTCCATACAGATCACGAAGCATAATTCTTACTTAACAACCTAATGACATAATTTTTGCGTGTATATATATGTGTGTGTATGTATACGTTTACATACATACATACACACATACATCTAGTTTTGATATTTTACTTTCCCTTGAGAGCTATTCCGAATTCGCGGCTTTTTTACAAATTCTGCCTGTGTAAATTTATCGCACGCTGCCGGTCCCAAGCCAGGATAAGAAGGTGGGGAATGTGTTAGATGGTCGACAGCCAGCACTCTGTTTTTTGACGTAAAATCCCCTATGATATGAATGTGGAATATGGGATACGGCACATACTGACATACATGATGCATTTGTTTGGTAAGCTCAGTCAAGGAATTGTGGTGGAAGTAGAAAGTAGAGATTTTTTAAGTTTGAAGAGTAGTATAAAAGGGAACGAAAGCACTGGGTATTCGAGATGTTCTATAATTGTAAAATGCAAGAAAATCAAAGCTCGAAAATTTATAAGGAAAACTAATGAAAATGGCTTGAAAACTTTGAATTTTAAAGATAAAGACAAAATAAAGGATAAAGTGAATAGTACCAGATTGACTTTTTAGTGTAAAAATGTGGTTTTTCGTTAAAGTGAACAGTACCGTAGGCTTTTTGTTAAAACTCCCAAATTTATATGCAAGTGTTGCATCCTGTGACAATAAGAGAAGGGAAAGAGAGGAATTACAATTACAAGTTTCTTTGTTGTGTTCCTGATTGTGGTCATTGGTCCTTTTAGTAGTTGTGGATGCAAACTGGGGTTGCTGCTTGAACATACAAGCTTGTATATAATATAAAATTGAGAGCTTGAGAACTTGCTTTCCATTTTTATGTCCACATTTGGTTTCTATTTACAAATCCTTACTTTGGGAAATCTTATCTCGTGTCATGGTGGAGTTCCTGTTTATGCATTAACGTTGCTATTCTGTTGTTCTTCTTTGTGAAGCATATGTTACAATGCAAGCACTTAACACACCTGCTGCAAGCTGTGATGACGAGAGAAGGGACTTGGAGTATTTGCTTGAAGCATTTAGCTCAATGGTTTCTCTTAAGGACATAGCCTCCGCATACTGCCAGGCGAAGTGCAATGTAGAAATGGCTGGTGAAATTCTTTGCAGATCACATTTAACTTCCTCAAACGGTGCTAGTTCCTCAAAAGTTAAGCTTGAGGGTGCAAGCGCAACTTCTTTGGAAGGCCCGGAATCTGGACGGGACTTTGCAAGTGCAGTTCATGCAGGTGTGTCAACCGCCAAAAGTATTCAGAATCCCTTCAATGGAATGGACAACACCAGAGCATTGAAGTCAAAAAAACTTTCTGCTTCAGTGGGTACTGTTTCAGGGATGATTGGAAAGGAGTACAGTAGGCCCAGAGCATCAACAATTGAATATACTGAAGTGAAGAAACCATTAAAACTAGATTGGAAAGAAGTGCCTGCCTCTGCGATATGGAGTGAAGAAGTCCAATCAACCACGCCACCAACAAACAGCAAACTGCAAGCTGATGCTGAAGAATTTCTGTGTAAAATGCTTGGAGAGGGCTTTAAACTTGATATGAATGTGATCCGAGAAGTTCTTGGTAAATCTTCTTATCCCTTAGAAATCTGATTTCTTTAGTATTTCTGGAATACCATTCCAGAATATGGCACACTTTTCATTGTATTTTTCATCATATTACTTAAACAGGAGACAATGAAAAATATAATTGTCGATATCACAATGGAATCTTTCATTTTGGATAACATGTCAAGTGCATGTACCTCTTGAAATTGAAATACAACTTGACAGTTCCTTGAGTCCCCTTGTTGCCTTTAACACTAATAAAAAAATACAATTGGATCACTATGGTCTGAAAATATGAATACATGGTCATGATATCATTGAATTTCAAATATTGCTCTAGATGATGAAAATTTAAATATCTTCATGATATTCTTCACTCTTCCAGTTCTAGGTTTATTGGTTCTTCTGGTTATCCATTACCTCTCAAGCTAGTTGTGGAGACCTGCCTAGGTTATAGGCAACTGACAAATTGATTGCCTAATCGGACTTGCGGGTATTTGGCAGAGTTATGGAGTGTTATGAATATTGGAATATTCAATCTGTGATATTGAACAATATGAATGTATTCTGATTTATCTTTACCATTGAGTAAAATGGCATTTTCAGGTTCTTTAGTTATTAGTGCTTTGATGTCATTAGGGTTAAATTTTAAATACAAACAGTAGGTCAATTGTGCCTTTGTATTGTAAAAATACCTTCCTGATGATGTTCTTGAGGTTGACAAAACGTTTAATTGAGAATTTTATTGAATGCAGGCCTTTGTGGATATGATGTGCAGAAGGTATAATGTATATTCTTATGTTGCTTCTTACATTACAGCTTCTATAGTAATCTTTTGCTCCGAGTCATATGATAAATGAAACTATGCATGAAATCTGAGAAAGTATTAGTACCACAGTTTTTCTGTCAATTATTCCAAAAATTAATTATTTCCTTGATGACTTGGTTCTCTTTGTAACTGAATGTTTCAATTCTAATTGCATATATTTTCTGTTGCTGTATAAATTAAGATTGGAAAGAATCGTTTTCTTCTCTTTACCACACAAAATTTTAATCTTTGTCATCAATTTTGAAGAATTGATATTTTAATTCTGCAGAGCATGGAGAATCTTCTTTTCATGTCAGCATCAACATTGGAGAAGTCTGATGATGTTGTCGGCTTAGCTGGTTTGAAGGTAAGCTTTAGTTTTACTGCATTCTCCAACCAATCACGGAAGTATGATTACCAAAGGTTCAGGCAGTCGAGAAATTGTTAATTGAGCAAGGAATAGAAATGATCAAATGAAGGTAAAATCCCTTGGCATGTTGGAAATACAATTGAGACAGTTTCACCATGTTTAGTGGCATCATGTTTGCTTTAATCAGGAGGCTTGATATGTAGGATAGGTAGGGCAAACTAAAGTAGGATTTGAGGCTGTCAGAAGTAGGAACAAGTTCTGTGGCCCATGATTGAAAAGAATTCATTCTTAATGGAATAGCTTTTGATCGGTCTGCTGCGCTTCACTATGTTAGAGCTCAAATTTACACATGAAGTAGCCAGCAATAGTTTTTCATTTTCTTGTTCTTTTTATTCATTTGAAGCCTTTCCTGTAACAGTCTGCAGAGAAGCGTCCAGATCAACATTCTGCCCATAGGTATGTTGTTATTGGTAGTTTTGCCAGTTCACTTTAGACTTTAGAGGAGCCTCATTTTGCTTTAACTTAGAGTGAACTACTTATTTCTTTCATCTCTCTCCCTTTGCACAAGCTAGAAGTTTGAAGTTGTTTTTGTTTCCACGCTTGCAGTGATTTATCTGAATCACCAGTAGGAGAAGGAGATGGGCTTCTTAGCCAACAGGTTTTACAAGCATTGTTTCATGTTCCTGAAAGAACTGACGAAGCACCTAAAAGAAGTCTCCCATCGAGGGAAGTGAAAAGATATAAATACAAGGGACTTAAGGGATACGTGGTTAAACCATTTATAGACACGGTTGTAGAATGTAAAGCTACTGTAGCACTAGCACCACAAGGAGTTTCCGGGCCAGGTATGAACTTTACTCTTTTCATTACTCAAATAATTTCTCATCCAAGATTTTCTTTCTTCTAAATTCTTTCTTAATTCTCTAACCCAGTATCTGATTCTTTCCTATGGGGTACCTTTAGCTATTGATTAGTAATCATGGGTACTTAAGGAACCATTGATTTGTTTGTGGCTTCATTTCAGTTTTCCATGGTGGTTGACTAAGGATTTTATTTATCTTTATGTTTCTTCCGTATAAAGTTTTGTAATGCATTTACCTTCTCTAGATGGAGATGATGATAATGGCTATGAGGTCCTACGTAAATCTGTGAAAGAATACTGGATCACAATGAAGGAATACTATAAAGCTGTAAGATTCTTATTCTATTAACTTTCTGGAACTTTACTTACAGAAGTTATTTTATTGAACGTTCAAGGAGACCACAATGGTGGTCTGTTACGCTTGACAAAAGGGAGATATGATTGCCCAATCAGTCTGAGCATTTTCTTGTCTACATTTTATTTTCATCTTCAACTTTGTTGGTTTACACTCCTAATGCATTAATCATTGTTATTATCGTTTAACATAGGTGAATATTAATCCCCCCACTTGCTCTGCAGGCTTTTAATGCATTTTGTGAGGGTGATCGTGCACGTTCAGACAAACTGCTAGAGAAGGTATAGATTTTTTGTTTTAATTTGGTGATTTAATACTTAAAGATGGAATTAACTGTGCTACTTGTTCTCATTAAGCTTTAATTTTAAATACACAAACTTTAAATAAACAAAGTTCTTATAATCTACGTTCCAGCTTTAGTGATTTGAGTTAGAATCTCTGTTTTCCGATCGTTGTTCCCAATATGGGAATGCAAGGAAATATTTAGGTGATACATGTGTTTGCTTCACATAAAGTTTTATGTCAAGCATTTGTGAACCGAAATCTGATTTTTAAATTGTTCTTTTGGCCCTTCTTGCATAATACAAGTAACAGTAATACAAAGCAGTCTAGGCACAGTTGTGTATCTTCAGATGCACATGCGTATAGTAGATGGAGGCTGTGTTCCTTGTTTGCGTTCTAATAGACATTATCATTAAATGCCTTACTTCTAAACTTGCTTTTCCCTTCTCCCCTTAATTTTAGAGGCTATAATGATATATTTTATGCTCTTTGGAATTTCTAGGGACATTACTTTAACAAAATGGCACGGGAAGCAGACGAAAAATCTGCTCAAATGCTTATTCAAGCTCAGAGTAGGTGCGAAATGTACACTACTCTTGATCCATGAGTTATGTGTGTTCCGCCTCATAAGATGGCCTAACAGGTGATAATTTGAATGCAGTGAAGATGATGTGTCTCTTGACTTGCAAAACCACGAGCCCAAGGAAGCTATACGTCTTCTAAGATCTCAGTTAACCTATCTCTCTGGCATCCCAGGTAGGTCATCATGGCCCTCCATCATTTTTTCTTGAAATGAAATTAACAAGATGGAATGACTTTGGATCTCCCATTTATTAAGAAGAATCAAGGACAATATGAATTTGCATTTTTTTTCAGCTTTCAAGTATCTTCGGGTCATAGTGGGATTGAATGATGAAGATACAACAGGAGGAGCCCGGAGAAGACTGGTATGACTTTATCATCAAGCTCATGTTGCAAAGTTTTCAGCATTTCATTTGATTTATACACTGTGTTTTCAAATTTTCATTTGAGCTTCAACTTCAAAATTACAAATGCACAATTTAGTCTGGTTCTGCTGTTACTGAAAGTTACTATCAGAAAATCTTATCATGTGGTGAAATCGCTATCGTAATTTTTAAGTAGGTTTTCCATTTCATCCTTGTACATACACAAATACAATTGATTGAAATTGGTCACAATAATATAACTGTTTTTGCTTTAGTTGGTATGGAAAAGAGCACATATTATAAGAAATAACTCTTTGTATTTCATTACTTAATGTGTAAGGATTACAACTCAATATATATACAGTTCTCTAATAAAGCTTAGTACCTAATTATACTTAAGTAGGTATCTAATACAGAGATTAGTTGCAAAACTGTTACATCTAAACATGACAGCTGTACATCTGAAAATGACAGCTGTTAGCTATGACTACTTATCCCTTTACACCCCCTCAAGCTAAGCGGAGGAGAACCCAGAGAAAGCTTGGACTGAAGAAAGTGAAACCGAGCCTTGGATAGGGACTTTGTATGGATGTCTGCAATTTGATGATCAGTGGAAACATACAACACTTTGACTAAACCAGCAAGAACAAGCTCTCTAATGTAGTGATAATCGATCTCCACATGTTTAGTGCGCGCATGAAACACAGGATTGGAAGCCAAAGATATGGCAGAAACATTGTCACACCACAGTGTGGGAGTATGAGAAAGAGGGAAAGTAATGTCTTTGAAAATCTTGCAGATCCATGTAAGTTCAGCAGCAGTAAGAGCAAGAGAGCGATACTCGGCCTCGGTTGAAGAGCGGGCAACAGTGGCCTACTTTTTAGCACTCCAAACTGATAAGATTGGGACCAAAGTAAACACAATAACCAGATGTAGAACGTCTATCAAAGACACAACCAGCCCAATCAGCATCCGAGAAAGCTGTGAGCTGCAGAGACCCCTTTTTGAACCAGATGCCTTGATCAACAGAACCCTTGAGAAACCGAAGAATGCGTTTAACAGCCTGAAAATGAGTGTCACGAGGGCAATGAAGAAACTGACAGACTTGGTTCATAGCAAAGGACAGATCTGGCCTAGTCCATGTGAGATATTGGAGAGCACCAACGATGGACCGATATTCCTTTGGTTCAGGCAACAAAGTTCCAATGTGATCCAATTTGGCAGTACCAAGAGGAGTGGCACAAGGCTTGCATCCTTCCATTTTCGTCTTAATAAGAAGATCCATAGCATATTTGCCTTGAGACATGAAGATACCATCAGAGGATCGATGGACTTCAAGACCAAGGAAATAGTGGAGAGGACCTAAGTCTTTGACAGGAAACAGGGTACTGAGCTTTTGAATGAAAGCTTGGCAATGAGAGGCATTGGGTCCGGTGACTAATATATCATCAACGTACACCAAGACAATCACCAAAGAAGGAGAGGTGCACACAAATAGAGAGTAATCAGATTTAGAATTAGCAAACCCAAGAGAGAGCAAGGTAGATCCAAGTTTATCATACCAAGCCAGATGGGCTTGTTTTAAGCCATAAAGAGAGCGATTGAGCTTACAGACAAAAGAAGGCTGAGAAGCATCAACAAAACCAGGAGGTTGTTGCATAAACACCTATTCTTTCAGTGAACCATGAAGAAATGCATTACTAATATCCAACTGATTAAGGAATCAGTCATTATGGACAGCAAGGGTTAATAGAATGCGAATGGTTACTGGTTTGGCAACTGGGCTGAAAGTTTCTGTAAAATCAATACCGGCCTGCCGGTGAAATCCTTTGGCTACAAGGCGAGCCTTGTAACGATCAATCGAGCCATCAGGTTTCCTTTTAATCCGAAACACCCATTTGCAGCCAACAATATTGTGGTGAGGAGAGGAAGGTACCAATGTCCAAGTACTAGTGTGTCGAAGAGCCTCAAATTCCTCTGACATGGCCTGAACCCAATGAGCATGCTTAGATGCTTGCAGATAAGCGGTAGGCACAAAAGTATCAATATCGATGGGATGCTTAGTGGCAGATAGAGCTTTAGGTTTGAAAATGCCGGCTTTAGATCGGGTGAGCATAGGATGAGAATTAGAGGGAATAGAGGGTGGAACGAAAGAGGATGGATGAGATGGCAGAGGTAAGGAAGCACTAGATGAAGATGAAGAGGAGGATGACGGTACCGGAGAAGAAGATACTGGCGGAGATAGGTCAGGATGAACTAGCGAAGATGAAGAGAGTGATGAGGAAGTTGGAGTATGCTGAAAGAAAGGGAAAGGGAGAGTGAAGTGTGGAGATGATGTAGAGGTAGTGGACTGTGGTAGGGAGGAAGAGGAAAGGTGATGTGCATTATGAAACGGAAAATGCGCTTCATTAAACATAACATGCCTTGAAATATAAAGGCGTTGAGATTGGAGATCTAAGCAACGATAGCCTTTGTGCTGAAGACTATAACCAAGGAAGACACAATGTGTGCTTTTGCCGTCCAATTTCGAGGAAACATAGGGTTTAAGCCAAGGGTAGCAGCTGCATCCAAAGACCTTTAACTTGGAATAATCTGGAGGACGTCGAAAAAGAAGTTCCCAAGGAGATGTATCCAACCGAGAAATAGGCAGGCGGTTAATGAGATAAAGTGCAGTTGCAAAAGCTTCAACCCAAAACTTGTGTGGAACCCAAGAAGAAACCAAAAGAGTTCTTGCAGTCTCTGTAAGATGACGATGCTTCCGTTCAACACACCCATTTTGTTCCGGAGTGTGAGGACAGCTATATTGATGAGAAATACCATTGCGAGCTAGAAAAGAATTGAACTCGGAACTGGTGAACTCACCCCCTGAATCTGATCTCAAAATCTTTATTTTATTTCCAATCAAGGTTTCTACATAAGCTTTGAAGAGAACAAATAGAGAAAAAACCTCAGACTTAGCTTTCATGGGAAACATCCATGTGTATTTAGTAAACTCATCCACAATCAACAGGTAGAATCTGTAACCAGTAACAGAAAGAACTGGAGAGGGACCCCAAACATCACAATGGAGCAACTCTAAACTAGTTGAAGTAGAACTAGTACTAGAAAAAAAAGGCAGCTTGTGGTTTTTGCCGATGGCACAATCGGAGCAAAAGAAAGATACAGACTGGTCACCAATGTGATCAATACAATGCTTATTTAAGACTTTCCTAAACATAGCAGAGGAAGGATGACCAAGTCTGTGATGCCATGTCTTCAAAGAGGCTTTAGTGCTGAGAAGGGCAATATGTGAAGAAGAAACCGAAGAGAGACCTTGAAATGGATAGAAACCTTCTTTAACTGGCCCTCGAAAAAGCGTCCTCCTCGAAGAACGATCCTTGATTTCAGAACCATCAGAATTAAGGGTCAAAGAACAATAGTTATCTTTCAAGAATTGATAAGCAGAGAGTAAGTTGAATTTCATCAGCGGAACATGAAGAATATTGTTTAATCGGAAAGAAGCATGTGGTGTTGAGACTGTAGAGTTACCAGTATGATGAATAGCCATACCTTGACCATCACCAACATACACCTTGTCATTGCCAGAATACGGACGGGGAGCCTGAATTGCAGAAATATCATTAACAATTTGAGAGGTGGCACCCGAGTCCATTAACCAAGTGGGAGAAGATGGCTTAGAGTTGGTGTGAACACACATAGCAGCGAGCTGTGCAGGAGGGATTTTGCCAGCAAAAGCATGATTCATCCGGGCATAGCAATCCAGAGCTTCGTGATCAAACGAATTACATATTTGGCAGGAAGTTCGACCACCAGAATTGTTGAATTGACTACGATTACCACCAAAATGATTGCGATTTCCAGAGAAGTTTCTGTAATTGCCATGATTCCCACCAGAATTGTTGAATTGACCACGATTGTTGGAATTCTTAGAAAAATTACCACGAGGCTTGCGCGGAGAGAAACCTCAACAGCGATTATTGGTGTGAAACTTGGATGGCGCACTGGAAGATGACTGTTGAGCAGCAAATGCTTGAGGAAAATTATAGAACTGGGATGGTGTAGGAAGAAGAGGAGGTGGATACTGCGCAGCAAATGCCTGAAAAGGCTCAGAAGCAGAGGAGGCCACATTTTTCTTCTTGCGATGCATGAAAACTTCCTTGTTAATCAACAATCCATGAAGTTCATCCAGTGTTGTGGTAGAAATCCTGAGCATGATAGAGTCAATGAACGACTCATATTCATTAGGTAAGCCATTAAGAGTGACGGCAATCAAATCATGATCAGAAACCGGAGCTCCAGCAGCCATTAATGAATCAGCAAGACCTTTGATGCGCTGCAGATAATCTGAGATAGAGAGATCGCCTTTGTGAACAGAGTGAAGGCGAGAACGGAGCTGATGAATGTGAGCGGCAGACACACCACCAAATCGATGCTCAAGGTTTAACCAGAGATCGCGAGACGAAGCGACACCAACAGTAAACGGAACAATATCCTCAGAAAGAGTGGAATTCAACCAGATCAGGATATTCTGATCTTTGTCATACCACGCCTCGAAGTCAGGATTTGGAACTCTAGTGCTGCAACCAAATGCATCAAGAACAAACGGCGGCGGGCAAATTTCCGAGCCATCAACAATGCCGGTGAGTTTGTATCGGCGAAAAATTGGAGCGAATAGAGCTTTTCAGACGAGATAATTGTCACGTTTGAGCTTCGTAGGAACCATACAACTGATATTCTGAACAGTTATAGAAGAAATTGAAGAAGAGGAAGAATTAGGGTTCATCGTAGCAAAATTGGGGGAAGAAGTTGCAGGAGGAGGAGTAGCAACAATTTCAGGTTGCACAGGAGAAGAAGTCGAAGACTCCATGGCCAAAGACCAAAGATCTGAGAAGCAACACGATCGAAGAACAAATCGATCGAAAAAAAAATCGCAAGAAAAAAAGAGGGATCGAGAGGCGGTTAGGCAGAGAGGCGGTGATACCATATAAGAAATAACTCTTTGTATTTCATTACTTAATGTGTAAGGATTACAACTCAATATATATACAGTTCTCTAATAAAGCTTAGTACCTAATTATACTTAAGTAGGTATCTAATACAGAGATTAGTTGCAAAACTGTTACATCTAAACATGACAGCTGTACATCTGAAAATGACAGCTGTTAGCTATGACTACTTATCCCTTTACATATATCATAAAACAGATCGCTTAACACTTTGTGCTTCTTTTTTCTTCATGCGCTATGACTCCATATGCTTTATGAAAACTTAAATTTCACATGTCTTTTGTAAATTTTGTTGTGCAGATTGTGAAGCAACTGGAGAAGGAATCGATCAAATGGACCGAGGAGGAGAACGGGAGGACAATATCGATCCGAGTGGATGAAATTGACCCGAAAAGCTTGAGCTTCTCAAAAAAATGAGTGAAAGAAACAAGAGCTCAATTTGAGCAGAGCAGAAGTGGAACTTAAAGAAGAGGCCATGCCATGGTAAATGCTGGTTTTGTTAGGGATGCTGTCCATTTGGGGTTTGAGATGAACTTTTCTTTTGTGGGAAATTTATGTTACAAGATTTTAGAGAGATGAAATTCAAGCAACACACCCTCTATTTACGTATATAGAAAAATACGGATGTTTTTAATTTGAACCTAAAAAATTCTTAGAGCAATTTTTTTCAACTATCTAAACTATCTAAAATTTAGTACATCTTTCATAGATTATCGTTGCAAAAAATTAGATAAATCAAAAACCATTAATGTGAGAATAAATTTCACATTGATGGGAAGATGGATCTTACATGGATTTATAAGTAAGTTAGATTACATCTTCTAATATCCCAAGCAAGTTATATATACATCTTCTAATATCTCAGTTAACCTATCTCTCTGGCATCCCCGACGTCCCTCCATCATTCTTCTCTTGATATGAAATAAACAAGGTGGAATGACTTTGGATCATCTCCCATTTATTAAGAAGAACCAAGGACGTAGACGTGGATTTGCATTTTTCTTTTCATCTTTCTAGTATCTTTGGGTTATAGTGGGAACGATTGATGAAGATACGACAGGAGGAGCCCAGAGACAACTGGTATGACTATATCATCAAGCTTATGTGTTACAAAATTTTCAGCATTTCATCTGATTTATATCATGTCTTCAAATTTTCCCTTGAGCTTCAACTTGTGGATTACAAATTCACAATTAGTCTGGTCCTGCTACAAATAAAGAGTTATTTATTTATTTATTGGGACAAACTGCTACAAATAAAGAGTTATTTTCAGAGAAAAATACATAGTATTGATATTAAAAGCCAATTTTCTAATCATGATCATATTTTTGAAGTAGGTTTACATACAAATACAACTAAACGAAATGTGTTAGATCTAAGCACAATTTAAGTATGTTTATACCATACTTGACCAATCCCGAAACTACTGAGCACCGGTCAACGTTATACCGTTAAGGATCCAGAAGAGTTTCCCTACAACTAGGAGGCCAATCACAGCGCGACACGTGTCAATCTCAGAAGCTAATCATAGACCGACACGTGTCAACATCAGAAGCCAATCACAACACGACACGTGTCAATGTCAGAATGAAACTAGAAACTCTCTTATATAAATAGAGATCATTCTCTCACAATATTTTGTAATGTCATTTGTACTAAATCATTCACTTGTACTCACTAAAGGAGAGTTTGAACCTATGTGCTTGTGTAAACCCTTCACAATTAATGAGAACTCCTCTACTCCGTGAACGTAGCCAATCTGGGTGAACCACGTACATCTTATGTTTGCTTCCCTATCTCTATCAATTTACATAGTTATCCATACTAGTGACCGGAGCAATCTAGCGAAGGTCACAAACATAATACTTTCTGTTGTACCAAAGTCCTCATTGATTTTGTGCATCAACATTTGGCGCCATCTGTGGGAACGACACTTATTCCCACTCTCTTCAGCTTTGTCAAGCTGGTTTCCACCATTCGTACACTCTCTTTTGACCAGGCATCCCTCTTTAACATGGGGAGCAAAGGAAGCCACAACACACAGAATGACACCCCTCTTGCACCTAGTGCGAAGCAACGAAAGAAGGAAGGAAAGAGGGTTGCTCTTCAAGCTAAAGTCGATGAGCTAGAAGCTCAAAGTAACAAGATAGCAATGAAGAATGAGGTCATCCAGGAGCAGTATAAGAAGCTCTTTGAGACGTTTCATGAAACTATGTGTACTCAAACACGCGAGCTTGTTGCCCCTGAACATCAACCATCATCTGGGTGCCCCCCAACACTGAGGGTCACCTTCCTTCAACATGGGTATCCCTGATGAGGAGCGAGCTAATCATCAAACCATTGATCAACATGAGACTTCTCTCAACCCAGCTGCTTCGACCCGAAGCATGAGAAATGGAGGAAGACACCTCCTTGCAGAAGGGTTGGAAGGATCAAAAGTCGTTTATCGTGACTGCCGAGACTTCCTAAAGCAACGTCAAGAGAATCCCCTCCACATATGCTCGAAAATCAATGACCCAAGGGTTTCTGAAAGACTTGGTCCCCTCCCACAACCCAGGCCAGCTGCCAATCTAGGGAAGGAACGACATGTCCTAGAGGAACATGAAGGTACATGGGACTCTGAGGTATTCCAACAGACTCGCCCTAGAAGTCAGTACGGCGAGTCCAAGGAAAAATCACACGCCCTTGCTCAAACTTTCCTACTTCCAAGAGGCGATGGAGACTTACGAAAGAAAATCCCAGTGGTACATGACTCCACTCAAGACCCCCTCGTCCTACAGCTCATTGAGAAAGTAAACAAGTTGAAGGCCGAATGTTAAGCCGAGATACCTAACTGGAACCAACCCAGGCCTGGCCCTCTCACAAGGAGAATCCTCGACACCCCATTCAAGCGAAGATAAAACAAAAGCTTGGTTTACAACTCTATACTAGAAAGGAAGACCCAATTGAACACCTTAACCTCTTTGAGTCCACCATGGCATATCAGATGCATACCGACGAAAAGCGATGTCTTCTCTTCCCCTCCACCCTCTCTGGTGGAGCTCTAAACTGGTATTGCCGTCTGCCACCTGAGACAGTAGACTCATTTGAGGAACTGAGGAAACTGTTTGTCTTTCAACACATCTTTCAGACCGATCGCTTGCATTCTGCAGATGACTTGTACACTATTCGCCAGAAGCCAGACGAGTCACTACGAGAGTATGTTGGTCGTTTCAACCATGAGTATTCTCGCTGCGCTGAGGTAGATGACAAGACCGCCCTCAAGGCCTTCACGGCAGGCCTACGTGATTGTTTCTTCAAGTACATGATCAATGCCAACACTTGGAAGACTTACTCTGAGATGATGGCACAGGCTTACAACCATGCCTCCGCTGAGGCAAGGACATATCAAGGGAAACCCTCCACAACCACCCCTTACTAGCAAGTAGGGAGTGGAAGCCAGATCCAACCAAATGAGAAGACCTCGACCTTCCAAACGGCAGCGGTGCCTCCCCCTGCCTTACTTAATACTTTGCCAAGTCAACAGACATATCAATCTCAGGGCAAAAGGAAAGATTTCCATCCTTACCAGTCTCATTTTAGTAAAAGGAGTAAGGGACACTACCGCGATAACCAAGGGTATCGCCATGATAATCTTGGACCCCAGACAGTCAACACAGTGGGTCAAACACGTGTTAGGACATCCCCTACCACGAGGTATGATGCATACACACCTTTGAACGCCACATGCATGACCATTTACCCCAGTATAGCATACTTGATACGAAGCCAAAGCCGAGGCACCCGGATTACAAGCCCATGAAGAACACGAGCACGTTTTGCTGCTATCACGAGTATAACGACCATGACGGCGAGAAGTGTATCTCCCCATCGTGATCATATTGAAGCTTTGGCACGTGAAGGAAAAATTGATCAATTCCTCCTTCACCCTCCAAGGGGTAACCGTAACCAACGCCAGGTAAATGTGATATATTCCATAAGTGGTGGCACACCCATATCTAAATCTTCCAACAAGGCCATGAAAAATAGTGAACGAGCTTTAAGGTTTGGCCACCAAGTGTTTCACGTGGAAGACATCAGGGGAGGTAAGTATCAAAAGCCTAACTGGGATCCAATATGTTTATACCTTGAGGAAGAAAGAGGTATCATCTACCCTCACAACGACCCACTGATCGTGGAAGCTCACATAGCCAACTTTGAAGTACGACGAATCCTGGTAGACACGGGGCTTTGGTTAATATCATGTTTGCTGAAGCTTTCAGGGCACTTAATGTCGTTGAACACTTGCTCGACCACTCAATTTCCCCTTTGATAAGCTTCTCCGGTGATATCGTGCAACCTTTGGGGAGTATACATTTACGTTTCACCATTGGTACAAGCCCTTACACAGCTACCATTACCACTAACTTCCTGATGGTTGATTGCCCAACGACATACAATGTCATATTCGGACGCACAGACATCAATGATCTCAAGGCCATGGTATCCACACATATGTTGTTGATGAAATTTCCAACCCCCTATGGCAATAGTTACATCAGAGGAGATCAACTTAGTGTACGATTATGTTACAACACTTCGGTCAAACAACAACATTTGCCTGTGCCCAAGGAAACCCTTTCTATACATGACCAAGTCATAAAGACTAGCCCAGACGAAACCAACTTGGATCTTTACGGTGGCAACAGTCAACCCGACGATCCTCGAGATGACTCTTTCACCCAGCAAGCACAACCCGCTGAAGAGTTGGAGAAGGTCTCTATCTCAAAAGATTATTCGGATCGCATGGTGAAGATTGGTACCACCTTGTCACCACTCATTCGGTTAACATTGATCTCTTTTTTTGCAAGAAAACACTGAGGTCTTCGCCTGGTCATACGAGGACATGCCATGCATCTCTCTCGATATAATCTGTTATCGCTTAAGTATTGACCCTAAGACCAAGCCAGTGAGACAGAAGCGAAAATCTTATGATGTTGAATGGTACGAAGCAATGAAGACAGAAGTTGAAAAACTCAAAGGCATAGGCTTCGTCCACGAAGTTAATTATCCAACGTGGGTAACAAATGTTGTCCTTGTTAAGAAGAATCTGACAAAGGAAAGTTTTCTGCTCCAAAAGGTCTTGTGGAGAATGTGTGTTGATTACACTGACCTAAACAAAGGATGCCCGAAAGATAGCTTCCCTCTTACTCTCATAGACAGACTTATAGACTCTACGGCAGGGTGTGAACTCTTGAGCTTCATGGATGCTTACTCAGGATACAACCAAATCCTTATAAACCCTCTGGACCAAAAACACACAACCTTCACTATTGACATGGGACTACATTGCTATAAAGTCATGCCCTTCGGCCTAAAAAATGCAGGATCGACTTATCAGAGATTGGTCAATTCAATGTTTGCCGAATAGATTGGGAAGAGCATGAAAGTTTAAGTTGATGATATGCTAGTCAAGAGCAAACATGCTGACCAACATATCACCAACCTATCTGAAACTTTCACCATTCTGAAGAGGTATCGAATGAGGTTGAACCCAAACAAATGTGCCTTCGGCGTAGGCTCTGGCAAATTCTTAGGCTTCATGATAAGCCAACGAGGAATTGAGGCTAATCCCGAGAAGATCAAAGCAATCCTCGACATGAAGGAACC